TATAGGGCACATAGAAATGCAATTCAGTTATTGATGTTTACTAAGCCAGAAGAATTACCTATAAATAGTCCCTAGAGCCTAAAGGATTAAGAAACAAATGATTAAGGTAGGATCACCAAGTCTGGTCCTAAGTGCCATATTTGACGTTTCTTCATGTTGCTCACTTGAACTAAGAGGCAAACAACAGATTAAATGTACTTGTCTCTAAGATTGTGATTATCTACACTAGCTTCACATTTGCATCATTGGAGGTGCTTAAAGAGTGCTGATGCCTAGGGCTCACAACCAAAGAGTCTGATTTTATTGTCTTCGGATGTTGCCCACAGGCACCTGAATTTCAAAAGTTCCTCGGGTGGTGCTAATATGGAACCAGTGGTAGAAATTCTCTACAGTAGTGCCCTTATAAATATGAGACTGGAAAAGAGATACAAAGGAGATGGTAGGTAGTGGTCAGTGTCAGTGATCTAGTTTATTTAAGATGTGAATTTGTCACTGCAAAGATGTTCTTGCTCAATGCTGTTTCTCCAGTGCTTTGTATGATGCCGGTAAGTGTCAGGTTCTGAATAAATAATTGATTGATGATTGATGAGTAAATATAGTGGCACTGGAGAAATGAGAACCAAAACAAAGAGAGGGCAATGGGCAAAAAGTGTGATTTGTAATTGACTATTCTAGAAGTAAATTATTTCCAAGTGCTAGCAAATCTAATGTTGTGGACATAAGGCTATATACCAGGTATGGAGTGGAGGTAAAGATCATTGCCATTAGAGATACTTTGGAGTAAGGTACCAAAAAGAAGTTACCTGGATGATAGGGCATGGAATGGAGAGAACAACGATTAACCAGCTCTCAGTACTTCTAAAGTCATAAAAGGAGTGATAGCTGAAACTAATAGAAAAACATAGATTGTGATAGGTGGTATAGCCAGATGGTCCGAGCATTAGGGAAGAAGGTTAGCTGTTATGGAGTGGAAGGACAGTGGTCTAGAAGTTGCACCAGGACACCATGAAGAAGCCAACTGTGTCTAAAGGCAATGAATGTGTTGAAAGTAAGAGAAATGGAACAAAAGACACAGTACTCTCTGAGTAGAACTAACTGTGAGTGGCACTTTCAGAAGACAGGAGCTTATTCCTCAACAAAGGAACGATTTATACTAGAAAAGACAACGGGGGTTGGTGCTCAGTATGCATCAGTATTCCTTGCCAGATTACTGCTGCATAACAAGAAACCATAAAACCTCAGGAGCATACAACAGTAAGTGTTTATTGCATATTTATTGTGTCAATTTTTGGAATTAAATGGGAGTCACTTGCGTGGCTGTGGTGATTTTTTGGCTGGGTTTAATCACATGCCTGGGAGTTAACTAGCTGTCAGATGATCTCTGCTGGCTTGGGCTGGAGGCACTTGAATGTACTCTGTGTGTATCTCATCCACCCCCCTGGGACCAGTGAACTTGTCTGGACATGGCCTTATCAGAAAAGAGGAGGACAAGGTTAAGAACAAGTTCAAGTGCTCAATCCCTTTCAAGTCTCTGCTTGGGTTATATTTGCTAACATCCTGTTGTCTAAAATTGTAGCTAGGCTCCGGGTAAATGATATAGTTGTATGGCAAAGGGTAGGAACGTTAGGCAAGGTAGACAATCAAGGCCATTTTTGCCATCTGCCACATGTTGGGAAAGTGGACAAGGAGAGGAGTTGAAGACTATAACTGGGAAAGTTCCCACCTATGGATGAGCAACAACTGGTACGTGAAGCAGGAATGCTATTTAGCTGTAGAAGCATCAGTTTCCATAGTCACCTTGATTGATAGGGACAGACTGCCTGTGCTCTCTTAGCCTGACATTGGATCTGCTTACCCTTTTTTGCTTTCGTTCTTCTGTAGTAAGTACAGATTTTGACATTTTTAGCAAATTGTTGGGTTACACTGAGATAATAATTGTGCATATTATGCATAATTGTGCATAATACCAGGTATAGAACATACCTCTCCCTCTTTTCCCATACAGATCAACTGACAATTGGCTGACACCCAGGTATGTAAGTCTGGCCAAGATAAGCAGAGCCACTTTAAACAATGTTGTGGCCAAATTACTACCTAATTTTCTCTCTAGTGGTATCAAAGCCCTAAGAATACTGCAGTGACTCAAACCACAAATGTCTTGAAAAGAATCCTTATTTTTTAGGCCATCCAATTGAGTAGATTTTTGTCCTTAGGGTATATTGCCCTAATGACTCTGTATTAGTCTATTCTGTTTTTACTGTAACAAAAAAATACCTGGTGCTGAGGTTGTTTTTCATAATAAAGTTCTTGTAAAAAAAAAAAGAAAAAAGAAGAAAGGTTTAATCAGATTATAGTTTTAGAGGGCGAAAGACCTGAGTTGCTTGCCCTCTGATGAGGTACTTATGGCTGTGACACAGCGTGACTAATGGTACCAGAGGAGCATGTGTAGGTAAGAGCAGGGCACATGGTGAAGAATTCACATAATGAGAGAAGAAGCAAGACATTGGGGGCAGGACCAGGTTTACTCTTTCATAACAATCCACTCTCGTGGACTAACCTGGCCCTGTAAGAACAGTAATACCATCTGAATGTGATGGCCCTAGAACCAAATCGCCCTCTTGTAGGACTCCACATATTTTTTATTTTAACTTTTATTTTGTGTACATCGGTGTTTTGCCTGCATATATGTCTATGTAAGGGTGTCAGATCCCCTGGAACTGGAGGTACAGATGGTTGTGAGCTGCCATGTGGGTGCTGGAAATTGAACCCAGGTCCTCTGGAAGGGCAGCCACTGTTCTTAACCACTGAACCATCTCCCCACACTGGGACCCACCTCTTGAACATCTGCTACTTTTCAAAAATGATTAGAGTGGTTTGTAATTACATGAACCTTTGAGGGACACACTTATCCATAACACAGACTTTACCCAGTAATACTGATTCTCAGCCTATAGTAACATCTATCTCCTCTAGAGGGCAGTGCTCTCTATATAGCCTCAGCTGGCCTATAGTATAGGCCTCTGCATGAGTTTTCTTCTGAGAACCTGCTCTGGACTTGAATAATGGTAACAAATATATCTAACTCCCAGAATGCTTTGCTGGGCTGGCTTTCTAACCTGTGGCTCAAGGATAACTTTCTTGCTGTCTAGACAGGATTTTCAGATGCAGGACACCTGATAGTTGTCCTGGACCAAGGCTCTGGTGGCATTCGTATTAAGTGTTCCTATGCCTCATCTCATTGCCAACCATAGTGTATGAGGGCTGTGTTTGTAACTGGTCATGGAGTCAGATGTTCAGGTGACTCTTGGAGTCATCACAGTTACATCTCTGAACAAGGACATGCTTGTGACTATGAAGCACTATGCCAAATGTGAATTTTTCACCTCAGATACATTTATGGTGGCCATTTTGATGGCTTGGTGTTACCTTCTATTCTCTTTTGCTCAATAGCAAAGAGACCTTTCCTGTGTGCTGTGTGCTTTGGTGCATGGTATTTATTTGCGAAGGCTTGCCAATGAATGCCATGCATTTTGCTTAGCTGGCATAGTAAAAATTGCACATGCTCACTGGTACGGTTGCCTTATTATGTGAGTCATCTCAGGTCAGTATTAGAGTTGGATGTTAAAGCTACTTGTTTTCTATTCAGCTGGCAGCCAGCTGTTCTTGTAGTTCTTTTTTCCGTGTTAATAAGGATTTTCATTGCTGTAAATAAACAAAATCACCACCACAACTCTTATAAAGAACACACTTAATTGGGGTGGTTCACCCATTTATCATTTGTCATTGGTCTAGTGAACTTATTAACACACCAAATTCACATGAAACATTTTTTTATTGAAACTAAAGTCAAGAATGAAGTCTTTACCAAATTATTTACATGAATTGGGTTTTCTCTTCCATGAGTTCTTCCCTATTATATGATATCAAGATGATACAAAAAGTACTTATACATGTACAGGGCTAGAGATATGGATGGGAAAATTTATGACAAGTTCATTGCCAGGACCAAGGTCAGGTTTTTGAGAACTTTCTGTAGTTCCTGCTATAGGAATACTCAAGGGTCTAACCTTCTTGGGACAAGCATGAAAGTCAAAAACCCACACACTGACATGGCATAATTAAAATTAATCAAGTCTCTAACCAAGCAGATTTTCAAACCTGAATATTTTCTCTTGTAAGCAGTCATTCCTGTAATCCAGGAGTTGTGGCATTTAATGTCTTTAACAGTTTTCCTACATTGTGAATTTGTTTATGTAACAGAAGGAAAGCCCTTAACTTTGGATTAAACTTAGAGAAATCAATCCATCTGAATGAGGTTTTTGTGTAATTAAAGAAAAGTGTGAAGTCAAAAAGGTTTACCTTATTAATGAATTCATAGGACTTTTGTCCATATGAATTTGCAGGTGACAACAAAATAGAGACATCATAATGCTTGATCATATTGTTGACACTTGTCAGAATTTTTTCCCTCCAGAATCTTGTTTAACTAGATATGTGTTGGCTGAAGATGTTACCAAATCCTTTATAGTAAGATTCATTTCAGTATGAATTTTCTCAGGTCCTCAAAGATTATTGTGATATGCAGTGTACAACTTTACCACTCTGCTTACATTTATAGGATTTCTCTGCAGTATAATTTTTTCATGATTTTAAAGACTGATGATACAGACAAAGGCTTTACCGCATTGATCACATTCAAAGGGTCTCTCTCAAACATGTGTTCTTCTATGACTTGCAAGACTGCAGTGTTGTGAAAAGGCTTTACCACACTGATGGCATTAATAAGGTTTCTCTCCAGTATGTGTTCTTTTATGTTTCTTAAGATCACCATGACGTGCAAAAGCTTTAAAACATTGATTACATTCATAGGGTCTCTCTCCAGTATGTGTTCTTTTGTGTGTTTGTAGAGTGCTGACATGTGCATAGGCTTTACCACATTGATTACATTGATAGCGTTTCTCTCCATTATGTCTTCTGTTATGTGCTTGTAGACTACTGACCTATGCAAAGGCTTTACCACACTGATTACATATATAGGGTTTCTCACCTGCATGTGTTCTTTTATGTATTTGGAGTTTACAGTGTTGTAAAAATGCTTTACCACATTGATTACATTCATAGGGTTTCTCTCTGCTATGTGTTCTTTGATGTACTTACAAATTACTGTGCTGTGAAAATGCTTTACTACATTGATTACATATAAAGGGTCTCTCTCCAGTATGTGTTCTTATATGTCTTTTAAGCACACCATTTCTTATAAATGCTTTACCACATTGATTACATTCATGGGTTTTCTCTCCAGTATGTCTTCTTTTATGGAGATAGAGACAACTGTGACATACAAAGACTTTGGCATATTGAATGCTTTCATATAGTTTCTCCCCAGTATGACTTTTATCATGCCTTTGAAGATGTCTTCTATGTCTTCTAGAAATTAGACAATGTTCTTCAATATTATGGTCTTCCCAACTGTAGCCTGTGTCAGTGAGGTTCCTGTAGGTGTCTAGCATCACATCTTTGTAGAGAATTTTCTGGGAAGGATTCAACAAAGACCACTCCTCCTGAGTAAATTTGATGTGCACATCATCATAAGTCACTGCCTCCATGTTGTAGTTTTCTTGCTAGACTCTTCTCAAAGCACAGGACACAAGACCATTGGTGCCAGTTTCTCAAAGCCAAGCCTGAAGCCAGTCTGTTCGTGTAGTTCTTAATGCCTAGAGTTTCTTGGCCATTCATTGGTGGATTTTGAACACTGGGTTACTTAAAATATTCATATTTATAAAGTTATTAACTTGATTCTACTTCATGGTTGCTAAACATTTGTTTTCTGAGGTTTTATGATGTCATCTTAAAGAGGAACTCCATGCACTAGCTATTGTGTGTTTAGACTTGCTTTATGAAACTGACATATGGGTGGATATAAAAGCTGGTATCTATAAAGTGAAATTGCTGTCATTTATTTTAGAAATAAATATGCAACTCACTATTGGCCTCAAGTTGGTAATGTGTGAATTCCTACTGTGAACCTTTATATCTTTACTACAATCCAACCTGTTTACAGATATGCTAGAATACAGACATACTATAGAAATCTGGCAAACAATTCAGAAACTCAAAGTATAGCCAGCCTATTTACTACTTGCATGTTTAAGAAAATATTTCTGCTCTTGAGCATTGTGGCATAGAACAGGATTCATGGGAACTAGAGCAGGGCGTATTGTCACTGTGGTATCCCAAGAGATAGCACAATGGTCTCAGAGGTCTACAGTTCCCGGGAGGAGTTTGTCCTTGGCTTCTCTGTCACTCAGCCACCATATTCTGCTAAGGTTAATGGCTGTAGTATAGCCTGATTTACGCCCAGGGCATTTTCTTCACAAATCATGTGATGCACCCTGTTTCTGTCACTCCTTTATTTTTATACCACCTATCTAGTTGTTTTCATATCATAATGAGGAGTTAGACTGAGAGACACCAAAGGGCTTCCTTTATTTATAAGTAAAATTAAGAAACTGTGACATCAGGATAGTGCAATGCAGAGGTCTTTGCATTTTGACAGCTACTTATAGTGGCCATTAAGTTTTAAGCCTTAAATAGTATTTGAGCTTGTGCTAAGTAGCAGATATATGTATAGTCAAGAATCATACTACAAATTTCAAATGTATCTCTTTGATATTTCTGTTTTCTTTTCAAAGAGATCTATAGAAGTTTTATTCGTTAGGAATGTAATATATATTGGATGTTCTAGTACCCATATTCAAAATTAAAAAGCAGGTAAAGGGGATTAGGTGTTTTGTATTCTGAATTTCTCATTTGCTGAAATCCAATGTATATTTTACCCTTCCAGCCACATTTGACATACTCAGGAACTCCTGTGGCAAATGGTAGTGTCATGGTTAGCACTATGCTATGAAATTGAGAAGGCATGCATTCAGGAGCATTGGCACACATCTGTAATCCTGTTTCTCAGGAGGAAGGGAGAGGAGAATTTTTTACTTCCAAGCCAGCCTGAGCCACAGAGTGAGATCCTGTCTCAAAAAAAGAAAAAAGAAGTATCTGTGATACAATGTGGAGAGTCTTTTCTCACAGTTCCTGTGGAGTATTCTGGTATAGTTTTCTCATATTTTTTTCTTAGGAGCAGCATCTTGTTTAAATTGAGGACAGATCACCTGAAGCACTTAACCTGCATCCATGACTATCTCATCCTTCACTCTTCCACACTATGTTGCTTTTAACATTTGAGAAAAAAAATGAGCACAAGTGATATCTCTAAAAAGGCTTTTTAAATTAATATTGTATTAACATAAAATAATGGGTTTGATTATGGCCCATTCATACACCTGTATTATTATCCTTTGCTCTTAGTACTCCCCATTGCCCTCTTATGCTCTTCATCCTCCTGCTGGGTGCCTTTTCTCCTCCCTCTGATTTCATGTCATTTTTTTAAAAAAATCTAAATTCTACATGAGAAAGTCCACAAGATACTGATCTGAAAATGTCTCCTAATGGAAAAGCTAGGGTGAAGTTTTAGGGCTAGCTGTAGTGAGGGACACCACTCATGTAGATACATAGACATGATTAAAATCTCACTACATCAGTCACTCTCAAGGAGATGAGAGGGGGGTGAAAATGTCTAAGTATATTAGAGCTGGTTCAATTTAATGCTGCTTTGACTTGAGGCCCTCCAGCAACCTGAGGGATGGCTACCATCACACATGTAAATAGGAGCATATAGGATTTCCAGACGTTTGTGATGTCTCGTGATATATATTCTGATCCAGACTTGTTTCATTTGAGGTATATTCAGTTTAGTATTTGCTGTTCTCCAATGGTAGAATGGCCTTCAGAGCCCTGTATTTCAACTCTGGAGATCAGTTACTTCTAGTCTCAATATCACTGGTTCCTTTGCATCAACTCTGGAATGGGCAGTTGGATATTTATGACTTGAAAGTTTGGCATCTAACATAATCTTATACTATTGATGATTTAGGATGTTTGTGGTTATTCTTGAAACGAGAGATTTTCAATATTTAGAATGCTTCTGGGGGAAACAGGACAACTAATGATGATGCTTACTTATTAGTTCAGGTTTTCTTTTTTCCCATTTTTATTTAAATTAGAAACAAGATTGTTTTACATGCCAACCCCAGTTCCCTCTCCCTCCCCTCCTCCCCGCCCCTGCAATACCCTACCTGTTCCATACCCTTTCTGCTCCCCAGGGAGAGTGAGGCCTTCCATAGGGTATCTTCAAAGTCTGTCATATCCATTGGAATAGGGCCTAGGCCCACGCCCGTGTGTCTAGGCTGAGGGAGTATCCCTCTATGTGGAGTGGGCTCCTAAAGTCCATTCCTATGCTAGGGATAAGTACTGATCTACAGGAGGCCCCATAGATTGCCCAGGCCTCCAAACTGATACCCACATTCAAGGGGTGTGAATCGGACCTATCTTGTTTCCCAGCTATCAGTCTGGGGAACATGACCTCCCCCTTGTTCAGGTCAGCTGTTTCTGTGGGTTTTACCAGCCTGATCTTGACCCCTTTGCTCATCCCTCCTCCTTCTCTGCAACTGGGTTCCAGTTCAGTTCAGTGTTTAGCTGTGGGTGTTTGCTTCTACTTCCATCAGCTGCCGGATGAAGGCTCTGGGATGACATATAAGTTAGTCATCAATCTCATTATTAGGGGAGGACATTAAAGGTAGCCTCTCCACTGTTGCTTAGATTGTTAGTTAGTGTCATCATTGTAGATCTCTGGACATTTCCCTAGTGCCTGATTTCTCTTTAAACCTATAATAGCTCCCTTTATTATGGTATCTCTTATCTTGCTCTCTTCTATTCTTCCCTTGACTCAACCTTCCTGCTCCCTTATGTCCTCCTCACCCCTCCTCTTCTCCCCTTCTCATTGTCCTAGCTCCCTCTCCCCTCCCCCCATGCTCCCAATTTGCTCAGGAGATCTTGTCCCTTTCCCCTTCTCCAGGGGACCATCTATGTCTCTCTTAGGGTCCTCCTTGTTTACCAGCTTCTCTGGTGGTGTGGATTGTAGGCTGGTAATCCTTTGCTCTATGTCTAAAATCTACATATGAGTGAGTACATACCATGTTTGTCTTTTTGTGACTGGCATGTAGAAGACTGGAGTTTAGTTTTTCTTATGTTAAGATATATTCCAAAATATATTAGGAAATGATGGTATCCTTCATGTAGACTAAAAAGTACTGTCACTGCTCACTATGCTTTATGGGTTTGATTTATTGCCAAATATGTAACTGTTGAGAGTAGATGATGTCTCTTTTTTTTCTAGTTATCTTTATATTAATGCTTTTTGAAAATCAATAAGCATTGGCTTACAGTATAGGGATCACTGAGGCTTCTCCTAACAGTGACTAATCTGACAAATTTACATTTTAAAATTGAAATTTAAATATCCTATAGTGTGACTGACTTTGTTTCCTTCTAGATTCAAAGTTGGGCCTCTTTGGTCTGGGTTTGACTAGTTTTGTAAATGACAGCATCCTTGCTATAACATTATTTTAAAAATGTGAAAAATATAAATGGTTATCAAATATGTATAGTGTGGCATTTTGTATATTCTGCTATTGTTATGTTTTGTTTACTTATGCCCTCAGGTGATTTAGGGAGCTAGCATGCCCTTTTTCATCTTTCTCCTATTTTTCTTCCAACTTTAGCAATTTCTTTTTGTTTTGTTTATTGTTTTGGGATAGTAGGGTTTTTGTTGTTGTTTATTTGTTTTTGTTTTGGAGATGAGGTCTCTTTTGTAGTCCAGATTTTCTTTAAACTCCCTATCTTCCCTAGTGCTGAGTGGGATTACAGGTATACCCCATCAGTCCCACCTAGGGCATTCCAGATGATCTCCTTTTGTATTTGAAATGCCTAGAGAAGACTCCTGTGAAAGAGCAGCAAAATGGCACAGCAATGTCCCATCTCTAATGGCAAGTGAGTACAGATGATGCTTACCTCTGCCCATTGGGAGAGCAGAAACAGCACCAAGAACAGGACTGTTATAAATCCTAGCTTTTGAGCTTGTGCTACCCACTTACACACTTCTTTGGGGGAAAGAGGAAGAATAAATTATTTTCCTTATATTAGACAAATTAGACAGTAGAAGATCAATTAGCTAAATTTTTCCATTAACTATATATATATATGTATGTATGTATGTATGTATATATATATATATAATTTTTAAAAACATGAACTCCTTTTAAATAAATTGCTCTAAAATTTTTATTCTATCAAAATTGAAGTGCGTATTTTCAACTTGAATCTTTTGTTTGCCTGTCAGCCATCTAGGTCTCTGTTTTATTTCTTTATATTCTTCATTAGCATACTATATTCACTATAGGAAGAATGGGCTTCAGTGTAGCATTCATAATACGTAAGTATCATGCACTTTGATGAGATTACCTCCCCATTGCCTCTCTTGAACTACAATGCCCTATTCTCCTTCCTAAATAGTCCCACTTTTACTTTTAGCACTCAAGCATGCACACACACACACACACACACACACACACACACACACACACAGGAAAATAAAATCTAGATAACATATATGAATGAAACATTGATACTTGTCTTTCAGAATATGGCTAATGGC